GGCATGGCTGAGTGGCAAAAATGGAAAATGTGTTGAATCGGCGCGACAATTATTTCGCAGTCTAAATGATTTTTTGTAAATGTTCTATTATTATATATGGAAAGAACACGACCTCATCTAGGGATTCTCAAAATTTTAGATTTTTGTGCATGTTTGTCTGAGCAGACCTCCCTGTTTTTAGAAGACAGGGCTCAACGCCTGGGCCTGAGGGCCCTTTTGCAATTCACATGCCCTCACTTCTTTTTTGGGGTCCGCTTCTACTCGGGGCCCGGTCCAACGAACTTCTTTTTGGGGTCCACTTCCGCCTGAGGACCAGTCCTTCGTTTTTCCAAAAGTCCCGGTTCTACCAGAGCTAGCTGTAGGTAGTCCGCAATTTTGGCAAGGACCGGTCCCCCAATTTTTTTTGCCCCTTACGAACCCACTTTGCGTGCTGGTCGCCCGCCGCCAAAAATGCGACACCTTGACACAGACGCGGAAGCTTACTATAAAGATCACAACAAAATCTACGAGTACTTTAATTTTCAGGTTTTTTCACGCATTCTTTTGAGCGTGAAAGCTCACTGAATTTGGAGTACTTTTTTAGTTGGCCCAGGCATGGCTAAGTGGCAAAAATGGAAAATGTGTCGAATCTGCGCGACGATTATTTTGCAGTGTAAATGATTTTTTGTAAATGTTCTATTATTATTTCTGGAAAGAACACGACCTCATCTATGGTTTCTCAAGATTTCAGATTTTTGTGCATGTTCGTCCGAGCACAGAAAATCGTCAAAGTTGCCTCTTGCAAAACGCCTATTTCGTTGTGCCTGACCTCCCTGTTTTGAGAAGACGGGGCTCAATGCCTGGCCTGAGGGCCCTTTTGCAGTTCACATGCCCGCACTTCTTTTTGGGATCCGCTTCTACCTGGGGACCGGTCCAACGCCCCCCACTTGTTTTTGGGTCCACTTCCACCCGAGAACCGGTCCTTCCTTTTTCCAAAAGTCCCGGTTCTAGAAGAGCTAGCTGTAGGTAGTCCGCAATTTTGGCAAGGACCGGTCCCCCAATTTTTTTTGCCCCCTTACGAACCCACTTTGCGTGCTGGTCGCCCGCCGCCAAAAATGCGACACCTTGACACAGACGTGGAAGCACACTATATGGCAGCCTAAGGGCTGCGAAAAAAAAAAAAAAAAAAAAAAAAAAAAAAAAAAAAACACGGGATCTTGAGGCATAGATGTCGAAATGAGCACATCCTTCAATTGTCTACCGCGTGGGCGCGGGGAACGCAGCCTTAAGGCAGCCACATCAATGAGACTATGAGCTTGCACAAGAGAGAGAGAGAGAGAGAGAGAGAGAGAGAGAGAGAGAGAGAGAGAGAGTGAATGACAAACGTGAAATATGGGTTAAATTGCGGTCGCGATCTATTTTGCAGTTGGAGTGATTTTTTTAAATTTATTTAGCGTTTTTTCTGGAAAGATCACAACAAAATCTACGAGTATTCCAATTTTTAGGTTTTTTCACGCATTTTTTTGAGAGTGAAAACTCACTGAATTTGGAGTACTTCTTAAGTTGGCCCACACATGGTTGAGTGACAAAAATGGAAAATGTGCTTTATTGGCGCGACGATTATTTCTCGGTCTAAATGATTTTTTAAAAATGTTCTAATATTTTTCCTAGAAAGAACACGACCTCGTATATGGATTCTCAAAATTTCAGATTTTTTTGCGGGTTCCTCGGAGCACAGAAAATCGCCAAAGGTGCCTCTTGCAAAACGCCTATTTCGTTGCGTCTGACCTCCCTGTTTTGAGAAGACGGGCCTCAATGCCTGGGCCTAAGGGTCCTTACCCCGCCCCCACTTCTTTTTGGGGTCCACTTCCACCCGATGACCGGTCCTTCGTTTTTCCAAAAGTCCCGGTTCTACCACTGCGAAATAATCGTCGCACCGATTCGGCACATTTTCCATTTTTGCCACTTTGTCATACCCAGGCCAATAAATTAAAAAAAATCATTCCAACTGCAAAATAGATCGCGGCCGAAATTTGACCCATATTTAATTTTGCCATCCAATCTCTTTCTCTCTCTCTCTCTCTCTCTCTCTCTCTCTCTCTCTCTCTCTCTCTCTCTCTCTCTCTC